GCTGCAAGAGCTCTCTGGCCTGCGTCTAATACTACACGATGTATCATGCGGTTTAGGGTTTAGGGTTTAGGGTTTAGGGTTTAGGGTTTAGGGTTTAGGGCCCTAAACCCTATAAACCCTGAACCCTATAAACCCTAAACCCCTAAACCCAATCAATCCTAAACCCTATAAACCTAAACCCCTAAACCCGATCAATCCTAAACTCTTTCAACCCTAAACCCCTTTTGCAACTGGGCTTGATGAATGCCAGCACCCCACTCTAAACCCTAAACCCTAAACCCTAAACCCCTAAACCCTAAACCCTATAAGCCCTAAACCACCTTTGGGGGTTTGGGGTTTTAGGGGACTTAGAAAGTAGGTTATACGTAGAGCTATAAGTACCCTAACTGGAGTTACCCCAATTTTAATTAACCCTACTTATAACCGACTTACTAAGTCCCCTGGGCCTCCACGTTGGGGTTCAGGATTTATTTAACCCATAGGCTCATAGTAGCTCCTGTTTGTGCCTTATATTTAGGATCCTATTAGGGAATCCCAAAAAGGAACTACTATGGGGCCTATGGGTAAACCCTAAACCCCTAAACCAAAAAACCCTATTGAAACCCCTGAATCCGAAACCCTAAACCCTAAAACCCTAAACCCCTAAACCCGTAGAACCCTAAACCCCTAAAGCCCTAACCCCTACACCCCTCGGACCTTCTTTAAGCGAGCAGCTGATCACGTTCGGCGGGCAGCGGACTTGGTCCATCCGCGAGAGCAAAGCCAATGCGTGAGGCCTCGGCTTGGTTCAGGACGGTTTACCCAAAGAACCCAATACACCTTAACTCAGGAATATAGCTTAAATTATAGGGGCCTTAATATTATGATTTAAGGTATATTCCTAAATTAAGGGATATTAGGTTCTCTGGGTACCGGGACGCTGAAGAACCTACCCTTTTAGGGTTCCTTACTATGAATTCGTATATAAGTCCTTAGAAAGGTAGGTTCTTTGGGGTTAAGGTAAGGTTTAGGGTGTAAGGTTTGGGGTTTATATATTTATGATTTGTTTTCAACCCTCTTTGACTATTGTCTGGAGTCGGAATGCCAAATTAGGTTTTTTGACACTCACACTCGGACGAGTCGTTAACACCATACTCAGCACGTGTCACCGAGGACGGCAAGCTGTCAGGCAAGGCTAGTATAACCACAACGACGGGTTTAAGGGTTTAGGGCTTAGGGCTACGTGCAACATCGGAAGTGATGATCGAGTCAAGACAGCAACAACTGATGGATGCCCCCCCCCCCCCCAAAAAAAAAAAATGTCATTGCAATTGGCCCCATGCAAACAAGCTGGTAACATAAAACTCATAGTAATACGAATACGAATACGGATCTTAACCAAACGCCTACAATAACAGCCATACCGGTAGATATTGTAAAACTAACATGTTTCCTCAGCCTTGAGCCCTAGAAAACCCTGTTACCCTAAACCCTAAACCCCTTAACCCTAAACCTAAACCCTAAACCCTATTATCGAAAGGCTGAGTTCCGGGCCATGCCACCGGACTCTCGCATGCCCCGATGGCTGCCGTCCAACCCACAACGTCAGCTGGAACCTTTCGGCTGCCCATGGCTTCAAGCCTGGACGTCTCTAGGGAATAGAGGGAGTCACGGGCTTCAGGGCTTGAGGGGGTATACTTGCAGGTTTAAAGTGTAGGGTTTAGGGTCTACTTGGAGGTTCATGGGTAGTTATAAGTGGGGTTATAAGTTTTAATATGGGTTATAAGTATACTTACCATACTTCTAACCCTACTTATAACTACCCATGAACCTGCAAGTAGGGCTTACGGGGCTTATCATCAGAGCTTCATACGCTTTAGAGAGCTCGCTGAGCTGTGCGGGAAGCCTTTCAGGTGATGGCTGGGGTTCTGAAGTGAAGCGGATCGGATCTGTTGCCTGGTTTAGGAAGTAATGGCATTCAGGGAGCTGCTGGGGCTGTCGAGTTTTAGGGTGTCAGATGGCGGAGTACTTCAACTTCATGGTTCCGCTTACATTCAGGAGATTTCTCCCTTGTGGCCCAGGCAGGTTACGACAATATGGTTCTGGCAGTACTCATGCATGAACCCACAGATGTCGCTCAACAATAACATGCGCGATTCCGTAGAGTATGTACACAACTCGTTCAGCAAGCTCTTGTGAAAGGCTCTTGGGACCCTGAACATCGACTGCCCCACACACACACACAACACTCATTTATGCGGCATGACCTTACGGTACTACTTTGTGTGAGTGCTAGCAAACATGAAGAATGATAAAAAACCCTTTTGCACCTGGGCTACGCATATGCCCTAAACCCAAAACCCTAAATCCTGAACCAATACAGCCTTTGTGATCTGCACGTCTTCATCCCTGTCCCGAACAAAACCCTCAAAATCGAAGCCGATCCCTAACGACTAACCCTAGAGCTCCAGTTTCCTAAACATTGGGTTACTGGGTTACACATTACAATGGTAGATCTCTAAAGTAGATTCCCGTCGTAGGCCCCCAATATACTACGGCACCCTAGAAAAGGATCCTTAAAGGGGCCCTAGTTTACAAACTCACTCATATACGGTTAGCAGCCTACTATTACAGTACAGCAACCGGCGGTTTAGGGCAATAGAATTCCCGACCAAGCATAGTAGATCGTAGAGGCCTAAATTAACTAATTAGTTTAGGGTTTTGGGACCCTTTATAGTATAGTTAAGAAAAGCAACCATAAAGAATAATATTGGGTAGTTACTTAGGCTTCTATATCAGTAGAATGTAGGGGTCTTAGTAATTACAATCGGTTAGAATCGTGTTTGGGGCGTATTGACGCATCAAGGATCCTTCTGGATTTACGGTATACCCTTGGCAATATTTCAGACCCCTATAGTTTCTCCCAGCCCTATACCCTAAACCGCCGTAGACCAAAGACATGTGCATATGAATCAAACCTAGGCTCAACGCTAAGGCAATCTCCCACTGCCCGCCGCGCTCGCAAGCTGTGATGGCAACGTTGTAGCTCCGAGACCTCACCAGATTTTACGGAGGCGGTATGGTAGGGTGCAGGGTCTAGGCTAGACGGCTAGACGGGCTCGTGTAAATTTATGGCTCAGATTGGGATTTGGGGCTTTCGGGTTAGGGCTCAGATGCGGGTTTCTTGTTGAGGGTTTGGGGTTTTCAGGGCTTGGGGCTATAGGGCTTAGGGTATTCGGTGTAGTTCTAATGCTTTGTCACGTCGTTGCAGGGTCGAACCTCAAAGCTAGCAGAAAGTTCGCCTTCATTCACACACCGAAGCCCGGAAGCAACCTCAAGCCTCAAGACCCAATCCGCCCAAACCGACGGAGGAGCTCCGGCAAAGGCATGGATGAAAACTCGGCCAGCGCTCTCTGCCACAGAGCCTCGGCTGCAAGGGCTGACAGCTGGATTTCGAGCTCTTTAAATAAGTACGTACCTGAATGTGTAACTAAAGCAACAGCCCAGGGATTCAAGAGTTTAAGCCCAGAATGGAGAACTAAGCATGTACTGCAGGATTCGGTCTTCAAAAATGGAGGTTCGTCCGTTCAGGTTAGGGGAGAGTAGAAGATACAAGTGCCCTTGCACTGTTCGCAACCCTAAAGCCTAAACACGGTTTACGGCTGTACGGGTTAGGGCAACTAAATTCGATCATCTGTGACATTAAAGCCAGGGAACGGCTCGGCCACAAGCACCCATGGCGCAGTGGAAGGAAATAGGGTCCTCCACACAGACCGCAGTGGCAATGCCGTAACAGCAAGCCATCCCGAGTGGCAGAATAGCAGAGGTAGCCCTTAGCCTTCAAACCCCTGAAGCCCAATGTCGTGTTCACCCAACTCTGCTCAGGCGCGAACCCAAAACCCTCCAAGCCCTAAACCACCAAAATCCTCTTTTTTTGAACCCTAAACCCTAAATCCTCTTTGCCCTGAACCCTGCAAATACTTTTTTTGAACCCATTTTTTGCACAGGCTTGCGCTAATGCCGCCTAAACCCTAAACCCTCCAAGCCCTAAGCCACCAAAACCTTTTTTTTTGAACCCTAAACCCTCTAAGCCCCAAACTCCAAACCGCTCTCTCTCCGGCAGGAGCCGGCGCTCGCGTAGGCCGTGCAGGAGGTACAAAGCCCAGGACCAGCTTCCAGCCTTCTCACAGGCGCTCAGGACCTGGGTTGCTGAGGGCTTAATGCTTTTATAAGCTTTAGGGTTTAGGGGTTTGGGGATTAAGGCTTAATGTAGGGGCCTCCAAAAATTATAGAATACTGTAGGGTGTATTGGGGTATACTATGCCATGATTATATCCCAAAACAAGGACCTGGATTTCTTAGGGCTTAATGTAGGGGCCTAAATAATTGGAATATATTGGAATAGGGTTGTTTTCGGTCCCATTATACTATAATTATAGACCCTACTACTGCTTTTAGGCTTAGGATTGTAAGGTTCAGGATTCTCAGGACCTGGGCTTCTTAGGGCTTAATGCTTTTAGGCTTTAGGGTTTAGGGGTTTAGGGCTTAGCGCTTGAAGTAGGGGCCTCAAAATTATAGAATAGGGTGTATTGGGGGGGTAGATTATGATATAATTATACCCAAAAATAAGGACCTGGATTTGTTAGGGCTTAATGTAGGGGCCTAATAATAATAATAATAGGAATAGGGTTTTGGGGCCCATTATACTATAATTTTAGAGCTTACTGCTTTTAGGCTTTAGCGGTGTAGGGGTTGACTTGGAGGCCCAGGGGACTTAGTACGTCGGTTATAAGTAGTGTTATATTTGGGGTAGCTCCAGTTAGGGTACTTAGAACTACATATAATCTATACTTACTAAGTCCCCTGGGCCTCCAAGTAGGGCTTAATGCATGTAGGCTTTAGGGTTTAGGGGCTTGGGGTTTAGGATTTTAGGCATTAGGGGTTTAGGGTTTAGGATTTCAGGGTTTAGGGTTTAGGGGCGAAGGAGTTTAAGGTATTGGGGTTAGGGTTTATGCAAGATGCAATGTGGGGGCCTTAGCAATTAGAACAGGGTTTATTGGGGTATGTTCAACTATAATTATACCGAATTATACCAAGCAGCCCCCAAAATCCTATTCTAATTATTACGGCCCCTACATGAAGGCTTTTCGGGCCTTTGTGGCTTGGGGTTTTGGGGGGTGAAGGGGTTTAGGGCTTTCGGGGTTTAGGCTTCCTAAGGCTTCTACCTTTTGCCCAAACACCCTAATACCCTAAACCCTAAACCGTGCCTTCTTAAATCATCGGAGGAAATATCTGACAAGGCAAGGCTTTGGGCTTCAGAAAGCGGTTGCTGAAAGAAGCTGTATAGGGTTCAGGTTCGGGGGTTTTGGGCGGGTGTTGCGGGGTTCGGGTCCGTGGTTTTGTGTGGGGTTTCGAGCAAGCCCAGGTAAGTTATTCAAAACGCGGCAGAGACCATAGCAGCTAGCAAAACGCTGGGAGCTGAACCTACAAGTGCAAAACGCTTGCAGATCAACTCTCACTCCCTCAGGGGTGTGGGGCTTGGGGGCTTAGGGGTTTCAGGTTTCCCGAAAACCCGAAAAATGATGCAGCCCCAAGCCAAAAACATGAAAGCAAAGACCCTCAAGCATGCAACAAAAAGTCAACCAAAACCGGGATGAGAACCTACACGCTCGGTCGAACGTCTTCCCAAACTGCCATCGAGGGTTTTTCCCTCTCGCATGGCTCCATCGAGGGTTTAGGGTTTAGGGTTTACGTACAGGCCCTTCGAGCTTTTGCAATGAGTTCCATTAATAAAGCTGGAAACTTATTCCCCTCATGCCCACAAAGCAAGCGATTGGGAATACCGGCATCAATCATCCTGTGCAGGCCGAGATGTTCAACAGGCGGTTTAGGGTTCAGGGTTTAGGGCTAGAGGTCTGAAAGCCAATGTTCAGAAAGCGACCGCATTGAGAGTGATGATGTTTGGGCTCGCTTCGTACCTGCATCGCTGAACAGGGGCACGAATTTGGGTTTTTCGGGATCGGGGTTCGGAACCAGAGAATCATACCACGAGGTTCAGGGTTTAGGGGTTTAGTGTTTAGGATCTAGGTTTACGGCAATGGCTGCTCCGTGTATGCACGTATGCAGTACTGCAGAGTAGGCTCAGCTCCCAGAGATTCGAAACCACAGGTGCGAGATCCCGATAGAGAGCTACGTCGTGGTTTATAGATTACGTCAACCTACGAAAACCGACTTTTGTGCAAGGTCGCTATACCTCCCATATTGAGGATAGAAATAGGTTTCTGGAAAATTAAAATAGGCAGAGTGTTTAAAGGGAGACTTCCTCCACGATGCTCTGCATTTACGTATCTACATACACACACACACATATATATATATATATACACAGAGGGAGAGAGAGAGAGAGAGACGCATGGGTGTAAACTCATAGAACAAGTAGATACATATATATATATATGTAATTATACAGATTGAAAGTATATATGTACATATGGCGTACATGCTATGCCCCAACAATGGATGCCCTAAGCGGAACCCTACAGTTAAGAGCCACGCAACTCAATGTGGCCTCCCCATGTCCTCCAGGAGCCAAAGGGCCAAGGGCCACTGCTGTCCCTTCCTTTTAGGATTTAGGGATTTAGGGGTTTAGGTTTTAGGGTTTAGGGCTTAGGGGGTTGGGGGGTTCAGGGTTTAGGGTTCAAGTCGCAAGGGCAAGGCTTTGATTATGCAGCTGCGGTGGGTCATGGGAGGTGGCAGCGTACGGCTGCAATATAGAAGCTTGAGAACATGGCACGACTGAGGGGGAAGTAGATATTCATCTTAACCCTAAAGGAACACTATCAACACTTCTTCAAGCCCTTTTCGTAGTTCATTCGCCATACGACCGAATACCCCAAGTCCCGAACCAGCCCCCCTGGAATGCATGAGCAGTCTCTCGCATGCAGTGATGGCAGAGCTGAAGCCGACCACGTCTGGTTGACCTTCTGTAGGGGCCTTAATAGTTAGACTAGGGTTGGGGGGGTTCCTTATTCGAACTATAGTATACTATCCCCAAAACCCTATTCTCTAATTATTAAGAAACCCTAAACCCTAAACCCCAAACCCTGTATTTCAAGCTTTATGCAGCCTGCCCCGGCCTCTAGCCTCCCTCGGGTTCAAAGGTCCAGGACGGCCCTTACCGAGAGACGGCAGTTAGATTCTTTCTGGCATCCGGCGCCAGAGGACGGAGCTTCGACAAGGGCTTAGGGCCCATAATAACTAGAATAGGGTTTTGGGGTATATTCTAAAATAGTTGTAATAAGGAGCCCCCCAAAATAGTATAGGTAATTATTTAGGCTCCTATATGAGGGCTTAGGGGTGTAGGATTTAAGGTGGCCTGCCTCTCCAAGAGCTGAGTGCCATCGTCACTGCATACAGATAACCCAAACTCCACGGATGGGTACCTGATCAAGCCTTTGAACCTCCGCACTCTAAACCTTCGAAGGGTTTAGGGTTTAGGGCTTAGGGGTTTAGGGCTTTAAACCCTAAACTCTCAACCCTAATTGTTGCCACTCAGTTTCCTGTCTCGACAGGTTTTTCTAGCTTCGGACTCGCAGGACCGACGGGCCGCGCTGCTCTGCCGCGCGTCCGTTACACAGCACGTGGTTGATAAACTCTCAACCCCAACACCGTAAACCTCCAACCTCTTTTCCCTAAGCCCTTAATTACCCCTGAACCCCAAAACCAAACTCCAAACCCTGAGTGTGGCAACCCCCAAACTCTAAGGACTTTAGGAGGGACCCTTAATAGGGACCCTTAATCCCATTACTTAAATAACCAATGCATGGTCCTTATATACCCCTTATATAGCCAGGTAGTATTAACCCCAATAACCTAGAAAGTCCCTATTTAGGGTCCCTCCTAAAGCCCTTAGACAAACTCCAACCTGCAAGCCCTGAACTCTAAGTCCTGGCGCCTCGGCGACAGAGCTCCCGCAAAAGCTCTAGAGCCCGAGGCCACACCGAGCTCTTCCTCGTGGCAGACGTTTTAGGGTTTAGGGTGCAGGGTTTGCATAGCAGATAAAGACGCGGAACTAGGGTTTAGGGTTTGGGGTTTAGGGTTTAGGGTTTTAGGTTTTAGGGTTTCGGGTTTACGGTTTAGGGTGTACTTGCAGGCCCAGGGGACTTAGTAAGTCGGTTATAAGTAGGGTTATAATTGGGGTAACTACAGTTAGGGTACTTATAACTCTACTTATAACCTACTTGCTAAGTCCCCAGTAAGGCTGAGGGTTTTGAGTCCGAGGCATGCTTTCTACTTCCAGGACCGTCGCTCGTTCCTTCGTTCACATGTGGATTCCGCTGCAACGGTGCAGGTCGAAGACTTAAGTAAAGCCCTACTTGGAGGTTCATGGGCTTTTACTAAAAATGCACAATAGGGTTGCAATAAG